AGGGGGCCGCACCTGGCCGGACCAGCTTGGCCTCGGCGAGGGGTCCCACCGCCGCTGCGCTTTCGGCCAGTTCAGGGCGAATCCACCGACCATCGTTTCAGTTCCCGGCACAAGCCTCATTCCCCCTCAGGGGTCTGGGGGACGGAGGAGGGTGCCTCCTGACCAATGCACGCAGGGGGGCAGCCCGGCCCGAGCGGCCGCTGAGCGACCTGCAGTCCAGGAACATGGCATCTCTGGGCCAAAGTCCATCGTGTGGACAGGGTGCTGGGGGACCCCGGAGCCCTGAGAACTCAGCACAGGCACCCCAGGCAGGCCGGGGTCATCAGACATGAGAGTCGTGACATGATCTGCATTTTCTTTTTAACGCCAAGAAAATGGTCGACGGCTGTCACTTGCGCTCTGCTCACAGCAGAGGTCACCCCGAGTCCGTGCACGGGGTCTGTAACCTGCCTGCCGCAAACGAAACTGTGGGCCCCTGCGGCCTCCCAGGACCGGACGCCTCTCTGTTCAGGGACCTTCCCCAGACCCAGGCCCTCCATTCGGGCAGCCAAGACCCCTCTCAGAGTGCCCTCCTCCACCTGAAATAATGGGGGAGACCCTGAAATGGGGGAGACCCAAGGGACTTCTCACCTGGCCCACGTCCCTCTCAGAAGCTCCCACCCCGGGGGCCCCAGGTCTGCGGTCACAGGGAACACCGGGAGCCGATCTGAGGGCCCACGTCACCTCCAGGCAGGGGTTCCCACAGGCGCAGCCCTCGCTCCCCAGTGGCATGCAATGCGGACACGGGCAGGCGGGCACTGACCTGGGAGAGGGCTCCGGCTGTGGCTCCTTCCTTCAAACAGAAGAAACAAGACTGTCAGCTGCCGACCCCGCCTGACACGCCCCACCTGGCACGCCCCGCCGGGACCCACCTGGCACACCCCGCCTGGTACATCCCACCTAGCAAACCCCACCTAGCACGCCCCACCTGGCATACTCCACCTGGCATGCCCCGCCTGGTACACCCCACCTGGCACACCCCACCTGGCACACCCCAACTGGCACACCCCACCTGGCACGTCCTGCCTGGCACACCCTGCCTGGCACACCCCAACTGGCACACCCCACCTGGCACGTCCTGCCTGGCACACCCTGCCTGACACGCCCCACCTGGCACACCCCGCCTGACAAGCCCCACCTGGTACACCCTGCCTGGTACACCCCACCTGGCACGCTCCGCCTGGCACGCCCCGCTGGACCCACTGGGCTGCCTTGGCACAGCCACAGCCAAGCCCGCCTACCCCCCTGGGCCCGCCAACCCCTACAGCCCCTGGGGGGCCCCAGGACGCAGGTCCTGGAGGAAAGAGAGAATTCTATCCCGCCCCGTGCTTATGCGCGCTCCTCGTCGTCAGAATCCCCACGGTAAGTTTCTGAGAGGAAGCGGCGCCGACAGAAGCAGAGGCGGCGATTCCACGGCCAGCATTCCGGGCAGACGGCCGCTCTTGTGACTTCCCCATGGTGCACTCAGTGGAAGCAGCCCTCCCCCGTCCCCCTGCCATGACCTTCCAGCAGGGCTGAGTAGGCCAGAGACAGTCGTGGGCATGTTCGGGCCCCCGAGGCCACCTCTCCAGGTCCTATTTGCACGCAGGGCCACTCCGGCCGTCGTCTACTCTGTTCGGGTTGATTGCTTCTACTGGCAGTTTCATTACAAAGGGAGACGGGCTGGTGGCCGGGATCTCTGGCCGACGCGAGGGACGGTGGCAGGCGACCCCCTGAGGAGGCCTTGGGACTGGCGCCCGCGTTAGCCTGCTGCATCACCAGTGGGCCCCTCGGTGCATGCCCCGAATCTTTGCGTAACAGGTGCCACGTCGCTGTGGCACTGGCAGAATGTGTAGCCAGACATCCTGCTCGCAGCCGGGGTCCCTGGGGACTGGCCTCGAGCCTCCCCGGCGCCCCGGAGAGGGCCCGGTCCAGGAACACCTGTGGGCACCCTGCCCGGCCCCCGCAGCCCCGCCCGCAGCGCGGAGGCCAGAGCATGGCTTGGTGCTCTGTTCGGGGTACGTCGGGCCCACCCAGGTCTCACACTTCCTGTTCGCGCATGCCCTGGGGCTGTCCTAACACAGTGCCACACCTGGTGGCTTAAAACAGACAACCTGAGCCTCTTCTCGCGTGCCCTTCACGCTCCCAGTCCCAACGCCTCCTCCACACTCGTCACAGCAGCCTCCACTTCCCCACGGGGACCGTACGCTCGTCACAGCAGCCTCCACTTCCCCACGGGGACCGTACGCTCGTCACAGCAGCGCCCCGCGCCCCCCACCAGGACCCACACACGTTTCCTGTCACTGCCGTAACTCAGGACCACACTCTGGGTTCAGACAACAGGCACCTACCTGCCCCTGTCTGGGGGCCAGAGGCCAGAGGCCCAAGCCCAGAAGGCAGGGCTGAGGGGCCCGGGGGAGGTCCTGCCTGCCTGTCCCACCGGCAGCCCCAGACGGCTGGGCAGGTGCCCACATCCTCCCGGCCATGCCAGCCATGACCATGTCACATGAGACCCTTTACTTAGTCACATCCCAAGGGCTCGGGGACGGTCCCCGGCACAAGGGCCCTGGGGCACCCTCCTGTCCACTCCGTCGGACGAGCCCTTCTACGCCAGCACCCCGACCTCTGCGGCGGCCTGCCCCGCCCGGCCGGCCCTCGGGCAGCAGGCCCAGGCCGAGCGGTCCACCTGACCTGAAGGCGAGGCCGGACTTGCTCTTCAGGTTCCGGAGCAGCTCCAGCTGATTGAGCGGCGGGATGAGTCTGCGGGCAGAGGATAGGCCAGTGAGCCCCGCCGCCCGAGGTGGGGCACCCCGCCAGCTCTCCCCAGCCTGCGGTTCTCAGCAGAGCTGGTGCTAGCGCCCAGGGGACACGGCATGGCCTGCCACAGGCAGAGGGCAGAGTCTGTGGCAGGTGGCCCAGGGCACCACCTGCATTCTAGGGCTGTACCTGTCCCGGGCCTCGGCCTGGGGAGCGGGCAGTGACCAGCACACCCAGCAGAAGTTAGGAGCAGGAGCGGTACACGGACACTTCCGCCCACGTGGAGCGAGTCGAGCAGGGCCCTGGAGGACAGGCAGGGGGCCTGGTCCCCTCCCCTCTCCCTTCCCAATCCCTACACATCTGAGGGCAGCACCCCAATAGGTTGAGGCCCCCAGGCCCCTCCCTGCGGAGCCGGGCGGGGCTGAGGCTCGGAGCAGCTGTGCTGGGCTGTCGGGGGGCTGCTGGGACAGCACCCTGGACCAGCTGGCCCGGCTCTGCTCTGACTGCCCCCAGCACAGCCTGACGGCCAGGCCTTCAGCCACCACGGCCACCAGGCAGCTGCAGGCAGAACGTCCACGGAGGCGAGAGTGGAATCTAGACCCTGCCTTGGAGCCAGGGTGGGCTCCGCAGCCCGGGGAGCCCCCTGGGGAGGCCCCGGGCTCTCACCCCTGAGACGTGGATCGGGGACCTGCCGCCTCTCCCAAAGGACCACACCCCAACCCCACCCGAGGCTCCTCGCCACCACCTGCCCCGTTCCCCACCTCATCTTACGGAGGAGACGCCCTCACCCTGCACGACCCCAGGTCCTGGTCTCCTCTCCTGACAGCCTGCACCTGCCGTGACACCTCCCTGCTGACACCCACCTGCTGACACCCACCTGCTGACACCCACCTGCTGTGACACCCCACCTGCTGTGACACCCACCTGCTGACACCACCTGCTGTGACCCCCTGCTGTGACACCCCCCTGCTGTGACACCCCACCTGCTGTGACACCCCACCTGCTGTGACACCCCCCTGCTGTGACACCCCACCTGCTGTGACACCCCACCTGCTGTGACACCCCCCTGCTGTGACACCCCACCTGCTGTGACACCCCACCTGCTGTGACACCCCCCTGCTGTGACACCCCACCTGCTGTGACACCCCACCTGCTGTGACACCCCCCTGCTGTGACACCCCACCTGCTGTGACACCCCACCTGCTGTGACACCCCCCTGCTGTGACACCCCACCTTCACCATGACACCCCACCTGCTGTGACACCCCACTCACCGTGACACCCCACCTGCTGTGACACCTCTCTGCTGTGACACCCCACTCACTGTGACACCCCACCTGCTGTGACACCCCACCTGCTCTGACACCCACTTGCTATGACACCCACCTGCCCTGACACCCCCCTGCTGTGACACCCCACTCAGCATGACACCCACCTGCTGGGACACCCCCATGTTGTGACACCCCACCTGCTGACACCCCACCTACTGTGATACCCCCACCTGATGTGACTCCATCTGCTGGGACACCCCATTTCTGCTCTGACATCCCCACCCCACTCCGTGACACTCCCACCCACTCTGACACCCCCACTTAGCCTGTTGGGGCCCCAATCGCTCCCTGCAAACCATGCTCAAGACCCCCACCAGCCCCAGCTCCCGAGCCGTCCTGCGTCTCCGCCCTGCTGGGCACTGGGCCCTCGTCCAGCAGCTGTGTTCCAGCTTCTCCTCGCCATCCGGTCACACCACCCGAGCCCTGCCCCTCCCACGTCTCCCCCTGGGTTTGCTCCCCCTCCTGTACCCGCTCTCCCTCCACTCCAGGCCAGGCCAGAGCCCACCCCCGTGATCCTCACGCTCAAACACGCAGTGGCTCCCCGCTGCCTCCACGATGTTAGGACCACAGCCTGCAATGCGCCCCCGGCCCGAGTCTCGGCCGCTTCGCTCTGGCCCCTGCCTCTGCTGTCCGGCGATGCCCCTCCCTCTGCAGAGCCTGCCTGTCACTGCTCCCTCTGCAGACTTGGCACAGCCAGACCGGGAGTGGTGTCTCCCTCCCTCTCCCCCATCCTCAGGGCTGACCGCTATCCTTGGAGGTCAGAGGTCAAGACTAAGCAGGAGGCCTGGGCAGTTGTGTTGGTAATGCCATGGGCAGCAGAGACCCCAGGACTGGGCTGGCCTCTCCCTCAACCACCCACCCCTGGGCCTGGAACAGACCCTGGGACAGGCCTCCCTCCTTGGCCCACACACACTCAGGTCCAAGTGTCCCTGCGGGGGCACACAGATAGGACATGCCCTGGACACACAGCTGCAGGAGACAGGACACGGGCAACAGGGCTGCGGGCGGCGCACACACAGCCCGTCGCTTCTGAGGGCGGTCCATTGGGGAGGAAGAGGGTGCACTGTGCTGACAAGCGTGGGGGACACATCGGGGCACCCCCAGGAGAGAGCAGCAGCTGGCCTGGGGGGCAGCTGGCTGGAGGACAATTCTAGCCACCCAGGTGGCTGGCAGACCTTGGGGGATCGGGGCCACAGGGGAAGATGAACTGCGGACACCTCCCAGGGCCAGGAGCCTGGCAGAGCCTGAAGCAGGACCACCAGGAGCCCCAGGGGCCCAGGGTCCCGGGTCGGGGAGGGGGACACTGTTCCCGTCGCCACCTTCCCCCGAGTGAGGCCTCCGGGGTCGCTGGTGGAGGCAGGCGCGTGCTGGGGATGGAGACGCCCAGAAGGCCGGCCCAGCACGGGGCACAGCGCACCCCTCCCTCCTGAGTGGGCGGGCTGAGGTCCCGACACGGATCCCGGGGAGGGCACCAGGCGAGGACGCGTGAGCCCGGAGATGCCGGCAGAGATGCTGCCCGGGCCCTCCAGCTTTGCGGCCCCCACTCTGCAGGGCTGTGCACAGCCCGACGGAGCCGCCCAGCATGGCCCCCCACTCCGCAGGGAAGGGGCCTGTGCACGGGCGAGACTTCCTGCAGCAGCTCAGCGCCCCCCAACCTGGGCACCGACCCCATTTGCTCCCTGTGGGCAGCGGTTAAGGTACAGCAGGAGAGAGGCTCCCCCGCAGACCAGACGCAGCGGTCGGGGACGGCAGGGTGCACAGCAGGCCCTCCCTTCTCCCAGGGGCTGTGTCTCCCTCCCGCTGCCACGGAAAGATGGGGCCTCTGGTCCACAGATGGGGGAGCTGCCCGGGGAGAGACCCACGTGCAGAGCAGAGCCGCCTGCCAGGAGCAGGGGCACGGCTGGGTGTCCCCCGAGCTGGGTGTGGAGCCCCCATCTCCACCAGGTCTGCACTGTAAGGGGGGCCCATGGGTGGGATGGAGGCACAGGGAAGGGTCCCCAGCCACTGAGACAAGGCAGGAAGCAGGACAGGACAAGGAACAGAAGATCCCCTGGGACAGACTGATCCACACAAGAAAGCAGCGGAGGGGGTGGCAGGGGACAGTGGAGGGACAAAACCAGGAGAGGCGAGGAAGGTGCACTCCAGCCGGGCGCGGGGGTGACGGAGACAGCGCCCTGCCGCCCGGCGGGGTCCGCAGGCTGGGGCAGAGTGCAGGGTGCTTGGCGGGGTGGCCCTGTGACAGTCCCACACAGAGGACAGAACCACACCACACGCCCTCGTCCATGCATTTCCTACCTGGAGGCCCCGTAGGTTTGAGCTTGCGAGCTTTCAAGTGTTTTCACACACACACAAGGGAGAAGAACAGAAACCGTAAAAGAATGGGGTGAGAAAGAGAACAGGGAAAGAATAGTTGGGGGGCAGGGACAGAACCCGGAGTTAGCGCGAGGCGCAGCCGGCCTTGGCCAGGACGGCGGGGGGCGCAGCGCGGGGACTCGGGAGGCTGCGCGTGCCCGGTGGGCGCCGAAGGGGGGCAGCGGCAGCGGCAGCCCCTCCCCAGGTGACAAACCAGAGGCAGGTGGCAGGTGGGGACAGCGCTGACTTCAGGGCCCTCAGGAGGAAACGGCCGTGGGCGGAAACCCCCAGGGATGGTGCCCCCCACTCCGAGGGCGTCAGCCCGGGGCAGATGCTGGGCGACCCCTCTCAGCTCAGACCTTGTTCTAAATGCGAGTGGGGCGTAGACAGACCTGGGGTGGCCGCACTCTCTCCCGGCCGCCCCCTGCCCTTGCCTGCAGACCATGTGGCTTCTGCCCGCCGCCCCCCAGAGAGGGCTCCTGTTCTCCCCACCCGACGCGGGCGCCTAGGGGTGTCTGTGTGCTCCGTCCTGCTGGGGCGCCTGGGCCCCTGGCCCGCTGCGGTCTGCAGTCTCCCTTTTCTCGTGAAGACGCGGCCCTGGCCCACGGACACAGGACCGGGGTGCTCCTTGAACTTCTAAAGCTAGGGGACCATTTACCTCGGCTCTCGGGGGGCCTGTCTTCGCAGTGCCCCCAGCACGGGGCACCCCAGCTAGGAAGCTAAGCGAGGGGATGGGGTGAAAACAAAAGCCGCGGGCTATGGAACAAAGAGCGAAATCAACGCCGAAATGAACCACGCACAGGACTTGCTTTCTGAACAGAACGCACACTTTAAAGAAAAAGAAACAAAACTCAATCCAAATAATGAACAACGGAAAATGGGGCTTGGGACGGATGGGCGTGAAGGGCCACGTGGCGGGCGGTACCTGTACACGGGCACGGTGACCGTCCGCTCATAGTACTGCCACGTGGAGTGCAGGTCCGTGCGGGACAGGTTGGTGGCATAGAACCTCCAGGCGGACTGCAGGGGGACCGGGCGCGGGTCAGGCGCCAGGGCGGGCCGCGGGAGTGCGACCCGGAGCCCCACCTGTCCCCACCCCCGCAGGCCGCAGGCCACCCTGTGGAGGGCCCCGCGGGGCAGGGCTGGTGGGGCACACGGCGAGCCTGCTCCTTTCCTCCGGGTCTGGCCTGACACCGACCGGGCAGTTGTAACCGGGCACCGTGGCCACCTCTGCCTCCCCCTCCCATGACGGGACATTACCCTGGGCCCGCGTGGGTCCCCGGAGCAGGGGCAGGGGACACAGGCCTCCATCCCGCCCGGCGTGGCGGCCCGCAGCCACTGGGGGAGAGGGCCCGGGCCTGCCGCTGACACGGGCCCCCGCCTGGCCTGACCTCCGTTCCCAACGTTTGCTTGCGGTGAAAGTCAGGTAACGTGAGTCAGCATCTTAGGGGGTCCGATTCAGCGCCGTGGATACTCCCCCTCGGTTGTGCAACCCTCACTGCCATCTAGTCCCACATGTCCATCCCCCAAAACAGAGGGTCCCCACGCTCACGGGCAGTCACCCCACTCCTTCCCCCGCCCCCCAGGCCCGGGCGACCGCCTGTCTGTGGGTCCCCGCACGCTGCACGGCGCCTACCGCCGGGCCCCACGGCACGCGTCCTGCCGCGCCGGCTCCCTCCCCTCGGCGCGTCCCCGGGCCCGTGCGCGCCGTGTGCGTCAGCGGTCCGTGTGACGGTGGTGCCACGCTGCGTCCAGCACCCACGACGGACACGCCGCTGGCTTCTGCCTTCGCGCAGCTGCGAACATCAGCGTGAACGTCCGGGGTTGAGCCCTTGTGCACCTCTTTTGGGTGTGTACCTAAAACTGGGATCGCTGGGTCCCACGATGACACCCAAACTTTTCTAGAGGGTCTGCACCACTTCGCATCCCCACCAGCGACACGTGACAGCTCCAACTTCTCCACGTCCCCCCGAGCTTTCTATTTCGCCGTTGTTACCCACCCGGGTGAGTGCGAGGTGGTGGATTTGACCTCACTGTGGATTTGACGTGCATTCCCCTAACGACCGATGGCGTCGCGCATCCTTCCCTGCGCTTGTTGGCCCTCTGCATGTCTTCTTCGGAGAGATGTCCATCCAAGTCCGGCGCCCGCTTCTCAGTGGGGCTGCCTGTCTTACTGCTGGGCTGCAGGAGCTCTCACACATTCCGGATGCCGGACGCTCATCACATAAATAACTTGCAAACGCTCTCGCCCTTCTGTGGCCTGTCTTCTCGCTCCGCAGTGCCCCTGGACACACAAAAGCCTTCCACTCTGACAGAGTCTTTTGTGTCTACGTCTTCCTCTCGAGGCTTGCGATTTCGGTGTCATTTCTAAGAAAGCATCGTCACAGAGATTTCCGTTTATGGCTCTTCTAAGTTCTATAATTTTAGCTCTTCTATTCAGGCACTGCGTCCATTTCGAGCGCACTTCGCATCTGGTGCGAAGTGAGGGCCAGACTTCGTTCTCTTAAAAACAGATTTCCAGTGGTCACAGCACCAGTAGTGGCAGGGACAAGTCTCCCCCACTGGAGGAACGTGGCACCCTGGTCAGGAGACGTGTTTCCAGGCCCGACACGGGCCGCGCCCCGCAGAGCACCCCACGTGAGCTCGGGGAGGACGTGGCGCCCGCTGTCATGGGAGAGCTGCTCCGCAGATGCCTGCAGGGCCAGCGGTTCTGTCGTGTTCGGGTCCTTGTCCCTCAGGATCTTTGCTGCTTTCTCCGTCCGTCGTGGAAAGTGGGTACTGATATCTCCGCCTATTACTGTGAAAATGCCTATTTCACCCTCCCATTCTGTCCATTTTCATTGCGTGTATTTTGGGGGCTCTGCTGTTGGTGTGTACGTGTTTACAGTTCCTACACATTCTCTTTGGATGGACCCTTTCATCAGTATGTGACAGCCTCCTTTGTCTCTCGAATCTCTTGTCTCTTTCAAATTGACTTAAACTCTATTTTGTGTAACATTATTGTAGTCATCTCTCTTTAGGTTACTGTTTGTACGGATTACCTTTTTCCATCCTTCTCGTTCGATCTATCGTTTTTGGATCCAAAATGGGTCTCTTACAGATGGCATATAGTTGGATAGTTTCTTTTTTTTCTTTTCTTTCTTTTTTTTTTTTTAAGGCGAGGCAACCCTTGGTTGACCTCACAGACTGCAAAGACCTTGTCAGCTTACGATCCCTTATTTTTTTTATTTTTTACACCTATAGCACCTGGTCTTCCTAGGTGGTCTCCCATCCAAGTTCTAACCAGGCCTGACCCTGCTTAGCTTCCAAGATCAGAAGGGATCGAGCATGTTCAGGGTGGCATGGCTGTAGAGTTTTAACCCATTCCTCCAAGTTCTGCCATTTCATTGGGGAGTTTAACCCATTTACGTTTAAAGTAATCACTGGTAAGGAAGGACTCGTCTCTGCCACTTTGCTATTTGCTTTCTGCACGTCTTACCTCTGTTTCGTGCCTCGACGCCTCCATCGCTGCCGCCTTTAGTGTCTGTTTCTGCCAGCGTATCATTCTGATTCCCTCTCTTTTCCTCCTCTGCTGATTTTGTGTTATTTCCTTCACAGTTACCCTGTGCATTGTGATCCGCGTCTTACACACGTGACGATCTGATTGAAAGCGATTGCGGTTTAGCGGCAACAGCATCGCAGCAGCCCCCCTCACGCACTTACCGTTCCAGCTCCCATCTTTATACGTCCTGTGCCCAGAAGTAGAGATTTACGACGATCGCCTTACACCGCCCCGAGGGACTCCCTTCGGCGTGTCACGTAGGGCAGGGCCACTGGCGACGAACTCCCTCAGCTTTCGTCCGTGCGGGAATGTCCTGCGTTCTCTTCTCGAGGGTACTTTTGCCAGAAACAATTCTCGTTTGACAGCATTTCCCGTCCAGGGCTTTAAGCACGGCCGCCCGCTGCCTCCTGGCTCCACGGCTTCCGGCGAGAGGTCGACCGTTAGTCTCACGCAGGCTCCTTGTCCACGAAGAGTCGCTTCTCTGCTGCTTCCCAGGTCCCCCCTCTCTCCGGGCCCCAGCAGTTGGACCGTAAAGTATCCCGCTGTGGGTCTCTGAGTGTCTACTGCTTGGCTGCACGGATCGTGTCTTTCATCAAGTTTGCAAAGTTTCAACCTTATTTCTTCAAATATTCTTTTTGCTACTTTCTCTCTTTTCCTGCCTCGTATTTTTTTTGTTGTTGAAAACTGGATGTTTCTAACACCGTGATGTGTGAGCTCTGGAAGTCCTATTCTGCCCCTCCCCAGGGTTTACTGTTGTCGTTTGTTGCTGACTGTGGTTGTTTGTTTAGCGACTTTTCCAGACTATTCCGTACACACTGTGCTCACTCCATCGGTTCCGTTAGCTCAGTGGGCAGCTAGGGATCTGACAGACGCAGCTCAAGCAGCTACTGGCTACCTGAGTGGGGATCTCTGAGCCCCAACCTCGCATGTGCAGGCTGGGGGTGACAGCACCCCTGCCTACTGGGGCTCTGAAGGGCAACCGCAGTGTCACCTGTGACAGCCTGGCCCGGGCCCCGGGGCCCACACAAGACGACAGCCAGCACCAGCAGCACCACCTGTGCTGTGGGGCCTCAGGCGCCTGACTGGTTCTCAGCGCCCGAACTAGGTTTCCACGCCTGACGCGGTTCTGCAGAGGGACGAGGTGCATCCACAGACGGGGCAGCACCGCGCAGGGCTCCGCCCCCGGGCACAGTGGGACCCGGACTCCGCTGGCCGCGAGGGGGGCGCCTGGACTCACCTGGATCAGGCCCGCGGCGGGGTTCCGCCGCTTCTCGAAGTGCTTCTGCCGGTGCTGCTCCTGGACCTTCAGGGCAAAGCCAGACCCCAGAATGCCCTGCAAGTCGTCGGGGTCAGATGGTGTCCCGGGACCCCAGCCCCCACCCCCCGCCTTTGCCTGCACACCCCTAGGCCTCTTGGGCTCCACCCCCCCCCACACACACACACCAGTCTCTCACCGCCCAGAGGCCAGTCTGCAGGAAAACATTGGGCGGGGACAAAGGGAACGTTTGCCTGCACACCCCTGGGCCTCTTGGGCTCCACCCCCCCACACACACACACCAGTCTCTCACGGCCCAGAGGCCAGGCTGCAGGAAAACATTGGGCGGGGACAAAGGGAACGTCAGCTTCTAGGAGTGTGGCAGTGTCCACACTGAACACCTGGGCCCCGAGAGTAACTGTCCTTCCCCAGCCCGTCCACACTGCAGCCAGGCTGGTGGGGAAGGAGCCCAAGACAGCGGCCCCTCTGCCCTGCCCGGCCGTGAGTGGACAGTGAACAGAGTTCTCGCCCTTTCTGCAGGAGATGGGGTCTTTGGTTCCCTGGATACCCACAGCACTGCTCCTGGCCACAAGGACCCTACTGGCCAATCCCACCAGACCAGGAGGAGCTGACAGCAATCAACAGATGCGGGGTCAGAAGCCACGGCTTGGGGATGCTCAGAGCACTCCAGTGAAGCATGTGGTGCTCCCAGCTCCAGGCCAGGGCGGCCCTCATGTGGGTTCCTGCTCCTGTTCCACGTCCCCCGAGTGGACGGGGGCCCAGGGCAGCCTGTGGTCCCTGCGCCCTGGGCCCGCCAGAGGCAGGGGCTCACCGCAGGAAGAGCGAAAAAGGAGACACCGATGAGGGTGAAGGTTGCCGCCAGGAGCCTCCCGTTCCAGGTCTGGGGGTATTTGTCCCCGTAGCCGATGGTCGTCAGGGTGATCTGTGGGACAGCAGGTCCAGTCACCTGCCAGGCCTGGCACTGGCCACAGAGAGGCCCTTGTCCCGAGCCAGACGCTCACCCGCACGCTCAGGGCAGGCTGGACGCTGGGAGGCGGGACGAGCACGGAGGCCGCCCTCGCCCCCGCCTCCCCCGAGGGGCCCCGGTGAGGCCAGGGGCCGCAGTGGCCGTCCTTCATCCCTGCAGCAACCAGACCTAAACTCCGTGAGTCCCTTCTCTGTCCCCTACACGTGGGGGTGGCGGGAGGCATCATCTGAAGGCCATGTTCCCGGGTCACACCAGGGTGCCCAGGAGGTAGCTGTCACATTCGACACAGAGGTCCCACCCGAGGACCAAGGTCACGGGCAGCTCTGGGGCTGAGCCTGAAGCAGGGCGAGCAGCCAGTAGGCGTGGGAAGGGCCAGGGGCCTGAGAGGGGACAGTGCCCAGAGGAAACCGCAGGGATGGGACGGGGCCCAGATAAACGGTGCAGAGCATGGGGTGCTTCCGGGGTGACCTGTACGCTCAGGCCAGGAGAGAGGGAGAGGCCGGGACGGTAACAGGAGGGGAGGAAAGGGGTGAGGCAGTGCACCCCCGGAGCCAGCGGGAGGCGGGCTGCTCCTGGTGCGAGGGGGGCCCTGGGGGAGCCCCACGATGTGGGGTGAGGTGAGGTGACGTCTTCAGCCAGGCCCCAGGGGGCAGGGGACACAAGGGGGGATGGAGGAGGGCCCCCAAGGAAGGCTGCAGCAGGCCAGCGTCCCTCAGCGAAGGACAATGATGCCAGCAGCTGGGACTCACCAGGCCCCACCAGAGTGCGTCGGCGTAGGTGTCAAAATGATCATTCTCGCCCTTCTCCGCCAGGTACACCAGAAACGAGGCCAGGATGAGGCACAGGAAGCCGATGTACCACGCGGTGACCAGCTCCTGAAAGGCACGGAGCGTCAGAGCACCTGGCCAGTGTCCAGCCCAATCCGCCCCCCGGCCACACGGCCCAGAGCTTGAGGCAGGCAGCAGGGGTGGCTGGTTTTCCAATCCTGTCCCTGGGTGTCCCCACACCTGGCACCTCACACCTGGGAGGATGGCGGCTAAGGATGGCCCAGCATGTGCATCTTCTTGGGTTTGGGAGTGTCCCAGGTGGCCGACAGGCCATCATGCCAGAGAATCCTGGGACTTCAGACCGTACCCCATGTTCCCCGAGCCTGGGGGAGACCCCACCTCCTTGGGAGCCAGCACCTCAGCACCCAAGGGGCTAGCTCCTGTCCTGTCCTGTCCTGTCCTGTCCTGCGCACCAAGCCCCTGAGCCAGGGCCCAGACAGGAAGGACAGTGGGAGGTGGGGAGGTGGTCGTGGGAGCCTGGGGCAGGCCTCCTGGGCGCTCCCTGGAACAGGGAGGGGTGCGGGACAGGACGCGAGGCTGCAGCCACCTCGTGCGTTTTTGTGGCATTGAGTGCATTGAGCACACACGTCCGTGACCACAGGGGGCGGGGAGGGGGGCAACCGCCCCGCTCTGCTGGCCAGCGCCCCGCCTCGGCGCCGCCCCGCCGCTCACCTTGCTGTGCGCGTAGACCACGGAGCCCAGGAGCTTCCAGGTGCCGCCGCGCCGGTCCATGCGGATCATCCTCAGGATCTGCAGGAAGCGCAGGCTGCGCAGCGCGGACGTGGCGAACACGTTGCCCTGGGAGCCGGCGGCCAGCACCGCGATGGAGGCGACGAGCACCATGATGTCTGCGGGACGCGGCGCTGAGGCAGCCGGCCCTGCGCCACGGCCCCGCCCCGGCTGCGGGTGGGAAGGGGCCCCAACCGCGGTTCCGGTTCCGAGGGGACGGACGGGTCACCGGCAAGGCGCCCGTGGAGCCCGCTGTCCGCCTCGCCCCGCCCGGGAACGCCTGCCTCTCAGGCCTTGATGACCACGCGCTCTGGCGCCCAGGCAGGCGCCGGCCCCCCGGGGCGCACGCGGACACCGAGGTCCTTCCTGCGCCCCCCGCTGGTGCCCCTCCCCCGCCGGGCCTCACCGATCACACAGAAGGGCTTCCGGGCGAACTTGAGCCGGCCCCTCCAGCCGCGGTAGCGACAGCAGCAGCCCGCCGCCCAGACGCGCACGAAGTACTCCACGCCGAACACGACGATGGTCACGATCTCCTGCAGGGAGGCGGCAGCTGAGCCACCGCTGGGCAGGGGCCTGAGCTGGTCAGTGGGGGATCCTGTGCTGTGTGAGCTGGTGTCAGTGGGGGGCCGACCCCCGCCTGGGGCAGCCTCAGGAGAGGGTAGGGAGGGAGCGCTCCCCAGAGGGGCATTCTGGGCCAGGGAGGGCCCTGTCACCAACAGCAGCGCAGAAAGCATGCTGCGGCGCCACGCCCCTCACAGGGTTTCCCTAGCTGCAGGACCCGCCCGCCCCCACCCAGGGAACACCCCCATCTCCACGGGGGAGGAGGCCACCTGGGCCCGCGGGATCCAGCGACAAAAGAACGTGGGAGCAGTGGGGGTGGGGGCCGTCAGGCACGGTGACGACACAGGGTGGGGCATAACTGGGTGCTGGGGTGTTGGGGGGAAGGATGGGGGAGCTGGGAATGCTGTGACAGACGCCGCAACATCACCGATGTCGGCAGGGGAGGCCGTGAGCGGCCACGGGGCCACTGGCAGGAGCCGGTCAAGCACGGCTTCTGCGTGCGTGGAGGATGGGGTCCACGGGAGGAGGCCCGGCTGGCACGGGGGGCGGGTCCAGGGTTCAGAGGCTCCACAGCAGTGGGACAGGGTGGGGACGCTGGCGCCCGGCCCCCGCGCGGGCTCACCAGGATGTAGAGCGCGCCCTCTGAGCTCTTCTCGTACTCCTTGATGGTGGAGAACACGGACAGCACGAGGCAGGAGAAGACCAGCAGGAAACTGCAGGGAGGGGGG